AGAAACACATGATCAAGGATGAAATTTTTACGTGACATAGGAAACTCATTACACCATTTCTTGTGATACTCACTTCAAGTAGTTAGGATTTCAATATAAGTTTCGTCATGCATAGTTAGCGACTTAACCATGCACAAATATAAGCCTATTGTTTGACTCCCTTCCGAGCAGAATCCCGACTGGTTAATCCCTATTCAGGTTCCCCGGCGTATCGGCTTATCATCATTATGATCACTAAGCTTTCTTGGAGCCTAAAAATCCAAACGATCGGTCATTAGACAAATCATGGCGAATAGCCCCGATAAGACCTCGAATTGCGCTAATCCCAGTTAGTTGTTCTCGGGTATCTTTCAGAATATAGTTAGATCCATGCGATATGTTTGTTTCGGTGAGTTGAAGTAACCACCGATGTTTACACAAGTAGTCATGAACGACACGTTTGTGCTGGCAGGTCTTCGGGATTGGCGTTGGGAAACTTTTGACATGAGTCATAGATTATCACTCGTCATAGGATGCTGATCGTGAAGTTAAACTTGATATCAAGATATTTTTCTACACATATACTTCTATGGAGTTTTCTGTATGTAAATTTTATGTTATGTTCTAATACCCGCTCAAGTAGCTTTCTTATCCGAATAGAAGATATGTTGATCACAAGGTATCACTCGAGTTATAACCCTAACCCTTCTTTCTGTGCTACTTTACCCTCAGCTCCGCTTTGGAAATTCACCATATAGATTGCAGTTTTGATACCAGGCTTGGAGTGGATGCCGGGGAGCCACTTTTTTATGTTTTCATCATGAAAAGTGACAGTGATTAGAGGTATTTGAAGACAGTACGTGTGTTTAAATTTGGGGTTGGCGACTCTTCCACAAAATGTTCTATCAATTCCTAGAGGTTACATAGTGGTTGCAATTGATCATCACTTCGCTGGTCCTAACATGCACGTATCTGGTCCAGTACCGGTATAAATCCATGGTTTTCATGCCAGGCATTGAAAAGTCTTCCATCCCGGACCAGAATCTCTAGTTTGTTATGAACACAGGGTTTGGTAACTTGGGGCCAAAAAAAACCTGGCTCCGGCCATGCACTAGCAGACTTATTGTGTGCAGGGCTTTGAACTTCTCTAGGTCTGAGTTCGGAGGCTTTTGAAACCTTTCTAATAAAGAACCATGTCTGTCCGCGCCCTGACCAGCTCTGAGTTATACCCATGAGGCAACTTCCTGCATACATTATTCCAATGTTTCGATATAGCTATTGCTACGTATAGCTCCTCACATAAATTACTCAATTACTCTACGTACACCCGTGTCTAACTAATTCCCGGAGCCCACATCACATAGCAACGGGGTCAACTTTTCGAAACTGAACAACATCAACTAGATGCCTATAGAAGGTGTGGGTTTGGGTAAAATAAACATACTCTCTATTTCCTATATATAGATATTTTCAGGTTGATTGAATGAATGGTTGATGAGCTACAATCAAAAGATTATTTGTTGCATACAAATATAATTAGACCTCCAAAAGCGGGGACCAAAAATACAGAGTAATATTCTTTCACTACTTGTTTTAGGATATCTTTATTCTGCATCCTCTCTTTAGCTACCCTGTTCAATCTTGTATGAAAGTTCACTTTGGTTGTGGTTAATTGAGATGTGGGAGTCTCGTTGCCATATGGGGGGAGGGCTCCGGGAATAAGTTAGACACGGGTGCACAAAGGGCCCGTTTGGACAACGGATCATCGACTTTTCAGATTATCACAATAATCTATGCTGTTCGTGCAATTTAATAATCTAAAATTCGGAACTCCCGAATATCCCAATAATCCGCCAATAAAACAACCACCTTCGGAGGTAATTATTCCCTCACAATGCTATTTCAACGTTATCCGGACATGTATAATATCCACTGTTTATGAGTATTATGATTATCATTTCGCTACCTGGTATGTAATCCGATCTGTCCAATAATCCGAAGAAATAATCTAAGATTGTCCGAACGGGCCTATAATCCAAATGAAATGGCGTATGCTATCGTTGAAGTGGGAAACTCCTCGGTGAAGGCCTGCTATTACTCTAAAACTTACTAACCTTACCTAGTATGCGGGGGCTCGTAATTACTATGCAGGGACGCTAAAGAATATTGGTAGCACCTGGGAGCTCCAAATGGGATCATGGAGCTCTATGAGCTACGGTATCGGCATGATGTAGGGTTGAGGATGATCCATCTACAACTACAGGCATATTTTGATTGATCAAGGGGGGTCTGGTTTATAAACACATCCAGGGATAAAATCTGTACTTATCCGGCGGGGAATACACAAACAAAGCTGGTGGTTGTGCTGGTTTCAATACCCAAGTCTGTGGCGCTCAGTCATATCCTTCCCAGTGGCCGGTTTCAAGAAATCCATGGATACCCCCCCCCCCCCATCCTGCTGCTTCCCTATCCCATGGCTCCGATCTATTGCGTATCAAAGCACCAATCTAATCCAACACGATGATCACCAGAGAAAAAAACCAGAGGGTGAGGAAGCAATCTTTGAAATTCTGCGTCATTAAAAACCGCACCTCGCAAATGCAAGAACAAAAACAGCAAGAAACACCCTGATCCCGAAAAGATTTGAATTTATTTTTATTTGGCAGAAAGAGGAAAAAAAGGAAACCAGCCCGCGACCGTTCAGACCTCGGCGATCTCACGGAGACGACGGATTGTTGAGCGGGTAGCAGCGGCAGCGGGGGTGCTATTAAACACATAGATTGTCAGCTAACTGCGAGGGAGCCAGGGTAGAGAAGGCAGAGAGGAACACATACGAGACAACCCAGGCACCTCCGGCAACGGTCTTCTTGCAAGACTTGCATTCCCAAATACCGACGGATGTGCGCTTGACGGTGGTCTTTCCGCAGAAAGTGCAGGTGTAGCGGGCGTGCTGGGTGATTTCCATCTTCTTGACCTGCTTCCTCAGAGAGGCACCATATCTGTTTTTCCGTTGTTAGCTTCGGCTTATTCAGTACCGGTTTCGTAGTAGTTCGAGGTCGCAATCCCGTGCTCTCTGGCTCGCTCGCCGAACGTGATCCGATCCGAGGGGGTATGGCGTGGGATGGAGGGATAGTGGAGGGTTATCTGTACCTGACACCGTATTTACCGGTAACTATCCACGCCATAACATTAGCTTTTAGCTCCCTAAAACCAAAACCAAAACCCCCAATAGTTCCCCTTCCTCCTTCAATTCCTCCACCACCTCCTGGGGAAAAAAAATCCCGAGAATTCGATTCCACGTACCTCCGACCTTCTTAGTGCGCTTGGTCATTTTGAGTGATGATTATTTTTTTCTTGGGATAATCTTTGGAGTTTGGCGTTGCGGTCGTCCGAGTGTATGTGGGTTGAGAATTGTTCGTGGGTGCAATCGTTCTGGCGCCATTGTGTGTTGTGGGGTATGGGTTGCGTAGTAGGGTTTCCTGCCCTATGGCAGTCCACCCGTAAGGATTATGACATAATCGAGAAGAGAATGTTGCAGAGCCTCAAGTGTGGTTACCCGGAAAAACGAACAATGACTTTGTCAAGTTGTTAGGTTGTTGCGATGACCGAACAGGGGCGGCGCGTTCACGACGTCAATACTTTGCTGTGCTTTCCGAGCTAAAGATCTATCTTCAAAAACACCATATCCCATAAAACATACTACTACTACTACTACTACAATGGCAAACGGGTATTTCCCTCCCCAACCCTCTTTTTGCCCACACCGCCCCCCCGACTGACACCCCGAATAGCTACAGTCTTCTCGCTGGCTTCATCGTCGTCGTCGCGATCTCCGGCGCGGCCTGGTTCTTCTCACCAAAGGGCGAAAACCAAACGTCCGTCTCCACCATCCTCCTCCTCCCTCCTCCGGAAGCTAATTTGTTCACTAGTATCTGGCGGAGCTCCTTGATCTTGACCTTTGTCGCCTGCTACCTCATGTGGTGTATGTAGCTCCTGCCCATAGAGTTTTAGCTTTTGGGATCACTGACTAACTGGCGTTCCTGGGATATAGCTGTAACATTGCTTGCGCAAATTTATCCCCTTATTGCGCCCCGAAGGTCAGATCTGAGACTGGAGGAGGACTCGAATGCTGTTCGGTTCGCCTTGTAGGGCCATAGCTGGTGGGATATGGGTTGATGGACTGGGTGTAAACACGGTGGGACTGTACAATATATCACTTTGTGTTATTGCGGGTTTGGATTTCGGGTTTCTTTCTGTGTTTCTGTTTTTCGCGTTATAATGGCAATGCAGCAATTGATATTTCTGGCTTTAAATTTGTGTTTTGGGGAAGTAGAAGTTGGGGAGTGGGGATATGGCGGTATTGGATACATGGCCTTTTGAGTTTTGAATACTCGAGGTATTGGTACGGACCTGCCGGGATTTCCGCAACAGACAATCAAGGCATCATAGTCCTAGAAAATTCTACTAGTACGAGCAACATCCCACAAATTACGATACTTTTGCAAACATAACGGTTTCGGACAATTTCTCCAACACCACCTTCATGGTCGAAATAAGCGTAATCTACATTACTACCAGTAAAGCTCTTTAACATTAGATGGCTTCTTCAACTCGTAATTCTAGTCTAAACCGTCACAGAGACCATCATTATGACTTTAGGGGATATCGGCATGGTCTGGTGGGGCTGAGGGCTTTCCAGCTGCTCCACCGTGGATTTATCATTACATACCCTCCCTAAAGGCCTGCGAAATTCCGGATACATGTATCCTGTGAGGTTAAATTATATAAACTTCGTCAGCATAGTAGAGTGCGCTAGTATCACTACCTCAGTATACTGCATCGTGAAGTGCCCTCATTGTATAAGTCTTTAGAATATAAGCGGTTATTATAGCGTTATCAAAGCCTTATAATACGCTTGTATATGGCTTATATACACCCAAACCTCTTGACAAGGATATTTAATAGCCTGCCTGCCCTCCCGTGCGCCACTTGGGTGTTCTACCACGAGAACTAATATCAAAGGGGATGTGGTTTAGTGGTATAATACCTCTTTAGCAAGTGAGCGTCCTTTCAGGTTGTTCGGTAACTTAGAGGTGGTCCGGGGTTCGATTCCCCGCGTCTCCATTCTTTTTGCATTGGAGGAGTTCGTGAAATTTTTTTGCAATGCCAAGACTTCGGTGGGGTGGCTTGGAACTTCAACAACCAAAGTGACGCTCTTTTATTCCTTTGGAACTTCCTGTGCTGTGGGGGTGGGCATTCTCAAGTAAAAGCCGTTCTTCGGGAAATCTGGTCCCCAACCAAACCCAACTCGTCTTAGCGCCACACCCTAGAAACGATTACCCAACCGAGTGACACACCATGACACTGCCAGCTAGAATTTTTATTCACTAGCTTCAAAGCCAAGAAGGGGATGTGGTTTAGTGGTATAATACCTCTTTAGCAGTTGAGCGTTCTTCACGATGTTCAATAACTTAGAGGTGGTCCGGGGTTCGATTCCCCGCGTCTCCAACCTTTTTTTTCATCTCGGGGTAGTGGGGTCCGGCGGGTAGCGACAGGCTTTCTGTAATGTGCCTCAGTACGTTTACGAGGATGTAGTACATGATGTACTTACTGTTCTTTGATTTTTGTCGTTGAGTCTATCTATTACAGCCGTGAGGGTGTCAGGGGGCGGTGTGGGTAAGGAATCGCATTTATTTTCGCATGGAAACAGCACAACACTTTCCGCAACAGGTTTTCGTTTCGGGTCTTGAATATGACATCTCACTGGTGGTAAGTCCCAGCGTCCCCGCCAAACACAAAACATCTGTAAAAAAAAAAAAAAAAAAAAAAAATCATTGGCTCACTCACTCACTCACCCCACCTTCCACACCGCCCTCCACCCCGCATGCGCACGCGCAGCCTAGTCTAGACTCCGCTCACAGCCCCCCCCACTTGTCCTAAAGCCACATCATACGCGCGCATCTGTAAATGCACTAATAGAATTTCCGTCCGCCAGAACGCCTATATCTAATTAGACCCAGGACTCACGTGCAATATGAAACAAAATATGTATGTAGGTAATGTATGTATGTAGGTACACAGAGTACTCAAAAGAAAAATCTCCGTTTCAATTCCAGCCTTACCTTACCTTACGTTACGTTACGCTCATAATCTTTTGATATCTGGCTGGTTCGTATGAACGGACCGGGTAAATGGAGATTTAGCCACAGCCGAAACTTACCGGTGGGATCGAGTGAGAGGCCATGATGAGATGAAATGGGTTGTATTGGATGGCCATGGGCGCAGATGGTTGGCTTTGATTGGATTGGGCGGCCCTATCGTCCGTTGTCAAAATGACACAGTCTCTCTCACTTTGTGTCCAAGAGGCTCGCCGGAACCACGTCATCGGAATATGACTGAATCGTGGTGCTATTAGAGTCTTGAGAAATCACTCGTGGTTGTTACATGCAGCTATGAGCAAAATGCGGGTATCCGAGCAAATCAAGTACTTGTCAAATTTGGGAGTAAAGCTAATTCACATGTCGATAGATTCTGGCAGCAGCGGCCCGACATGATTTGAAGTGGAAACAATAGAAACAGAGATAGAAACGGATAGGAAAGGGAAAAATGAGATTCGTTATATGTAGCAAGCTGATTGTGTCCCCTGTCATGACGATGCCGCCCCGTAACCTTCATTACGGGCCCTCTATTTTAATACCGGATCCAGGCAGATTGAAAGGAATTTCAGGATAAACTATATTATGGAAAAAAGGAAAAAGCAAAGAATACCGTAACTCCCACATTTTCTGTTTGCGTAAATCCAGCCACTGACTCCTACATGTCCAAACTCCTTTGTTTCCCCACCCCATATGTCCAAATCACTGAAACAACAAAGTGGCGGCCATGTTGACATCACCCCCGGTAGCGTTCAGCGCAGCCACTGCCTGTTGCTTGGAGAATCCCAGTCCCTCCAATTGCTCTACCGCCTCGGCTGTATAACTTGGTTGTGCAGCTGGCTGCTGCGGCAGCTGTTGGGGTTGCGTCGGCTGTTGCGCCGATGATTGGGCACCTCCACCACCACTACCACTCGCACCCCCATATCTTGCTGGCGTTGACTGGATCGACGGCTCAATTAAAGCTCCAGTCCGCCCACCAACCTTCACGCCACCAGGTCCCTCGACGGTTGGCTCATTCTTTGCTTCCATCTCGTAGTCGTTCTTTGGGATCTCGCTTTCCCCAAGAAACTCAACTTGTTCATCTTGGATCACCAAGCATCCCTTTCTGAAGTCTAGCATTGCTTGGTGTCTCTTTAACATATCCAATCCAAGCAAAAGGTCCACATCCTTGCCTTCCATGACTGTAAATGAACAGGCAAGGAAAAGGTTTCCAATCCTGATTTGCGCGGAATGAACCCGTCCCAGAATTTTGGCTGTTCCGACACCACGTGCAATACCGGCGAAGCGTTGATCAACAAGACGCATGATTCCACACCTTTCAGCACAAGAGGGTGACATGATGGTTGCTTGTGCGCCAGAGTCTACAAAAGCCTTGACTTTTACTCCATTAACCTCAACGGGGATGTACAGCATGGTAACACGGCCGAAAGCTAAGCATCAATCAGCATTCCGATCCCAAAATAAGGCTTTACAGGTAAATGACCTTCTGGATTGTGCTCTAGAGCGCTCTGTAAATTCTCCATGACTGCCTCCTGCCTAATAAGCTCCTCAATCTTTCTTTGGGCCTCAATGTTAAATGGTTCCTCGTTCAACATTTGCTGCCGGGTTAGATTAGTTAATGAATTATTTGATATTAAATTTGATAAAACTTACGATCTCCCTTTGTTTCTGTCTTTCCATCTCGACTCTTTGTTGTTCCAAGTTCCGGAATGTTTGTGCGAACCTCTCGGGATCGTTCACCGCCGCCACTAGCTCTGGCTGCGATTCCCGAAGCTGACCTAACAACCGGGGATCACCCAAGACCTGTAGACGAATAAGCTCTGGATCATGCCCACCGCCCTGCTGCTGTTGTGGATGCTGCTGCTGCTGTTGTGGATGCTGCTGCTGTGATCTCCGAGGTACACCCCCGGCTTGCTGCTGCTGGCCGCCGGGGGCTCGGGAGTGTAGCACAATTAAGTCATCATTCACAACGCCATACTGCTGTAGGTTTCTCGTTTGATCGCCCAACAATCGCCCATTGTGGTACAGGTGCTGGGCGTTTGGTGGGACAGAGGGGAGCTCGGAGGCGATAAGAGCCTTAAAGTCCTGGACTGTGATGCTCTCGGGGACATCAAGCGTTACAATTTCACTCGTACTGATGAAGGAGATAGTAATGCGCCTGTGGGGTCACAGTTTGTCAGTCGTTAGAAGGTGAATAGCTTGGGAAGGGATAAATCATTGAGACAAGTGGGGTAGTTTTTCTTTTGGTTTTTGGTGGTAGTGGAGGAGGTGCCGGGGGGGGGGGGGAGACAATTATTACATTTCCGATAAGATTGTGGGGAAGTTAGGTCAGAGCTATTTCGGGAGAGAGATTGAGTTGGTGAGAATGAGGATTGATGGTTGATGATGGGAATGGATAAGCGCGGGGTAGTTAGGCGGGGAGGATAGGGTGTGTGAAGGAGGTGAAAAAGAAGAGGATAGATAAGAGAGGGAGGGAGAGAGAGAGAGAGAGAGAGAGAAAGAGAGAGAAAGAGAAAGAAGGCGAGGGATAGAGAGACAGACAGACAGAGAAGATACCTACGTGTAAGAGGGGCGTCTCGAGCGTTACTCTTGTGGCGGGCGACATAGGAAGTAAGACTAATGTGACACGCCGCCGCATAGTAAGCGACAAGCCACAAGCAGTAGCAGTGCCAAACCAAATAATATTTCCCAATCCGATCTCTGACCGCAACTGACAGCTGCGCCAGGCAGAAGGCTGGCAGATCTCCCCCGCTTCATTCTCGCTTGCAGCGCTCCTCCTCCTCCACCTATATAACTCTCCCCGTTGAGGGGGCAGACATGATGCACTGCAGCAGTCAGAAAGCGTTTGGCTCTTCGTTTGGGGAGGCCTCTGCCTACAGTTCGTGAGTTTGGTAAAAGAATGTCTGCGGGCAGATAGCATGCAAAAGAATCCGGGAATTGACTCATGACCTTGACCAGTGATAATTAACGGATTGATGGATCTGCATCTATTTGCATCCGTCTGCAGCTGTCGGAGGAGGTGGTGGACGACGATAGGATAGTGAGTGTGGGTGGATAAGGAGCTCTCACCGCCGGCGCCGACTGAGGCTCTGCATCGTTGGGTCATCAATGTCATCCATTGCATTTTACTTATCTTCTCGTCCAGCATGGGTGGTGGTGTTATCCAATCCACAAAAGCATCATCACCGGCCGAAGCATTCGTCGTTGAGCGTGAGACCTCCTCAGACCTTTAATATAAGAATGGCTAATAGTTGTTGTACGAGTACCATACCTGTGTTTGCCCGTATTTATTTCAATTGCAATCAATCGACCACTCAATCATCATATCAACCCTCAGCTGCGTCATACTGCCGCCGGCGCGTCACCAGGCCCTGTTCTGTACGAGTACCTACATGAAGTGCGGTGTGGTGCAATGATGCAATGGTGCAATTGAGGGAGGAGGGGTTGTCTGGATAAGCTAGAGTACATACATCATCCTATGGGTTGCCGTATGCATAGCATGCTGGGAGCAGGTACCACAATGTGGTCCTGTAGGACCTGACTTACTCGCCCCACCAGGTATCTACTATTACAACTAGAGTACAATCTCACCACCGTGTTACAACTATGTACCTACATGTACCTACATAGAAACATCGACCACCTACATGTATTTCGAACCGGGGTGTTTATTCACACCATCTATCTATCTAACCAACCAACCAACGAACCAACCAACCAACCAACCATCCTCTTCTTTCACCTCCGACCACCTCCTCTTCTTTCACTGGCACCTCCGACCACCCCTCTCCAAATTCCCATCCCATTCCCATGGACTGATTTGATGTGCGCCATCCATCTGCGTGCGGCCTTTAACCGTTTAATTCTCCGATGGTTTTCCCCAAGTCATGTGCAGACTTCTCTTCCCCCAGCGATTCGCTACACCCCCCTCACCAGCTGAAAGCAACCCCTCTACCAGGTAAGTAAGCT